TCTGGACAGCATGTCCGCTCCCTGGTTCAGAACGCCTGGCACATGCGCTGCTCTCAGTGAGCGCAGGTTGCGCTGGGACCATAGGAGGAGCTCCCTGGCCATCGAGTGCAGGGAGCTCGATCTGAGTCCACCCTGACGATTTATATGCGAGACTACCGTCATGTTGTCCGTTCGGACTAGAACGTGCTCGTCCTTCAGGTACGGGAGCAGGGCTCTGAGAGCCAAAGCGACCGCTTTCAATTCCAGACAGTTTATATGTAGGCGCTTCTCCGGGTTTGACCATAAGCCGGAGACAGGCCTGCCCTCGTAAAGGGCCCCCCAGCCTATTTTGGAGGCATCTGTCGTGATCATTTTTCTCCTTGTGTTCACGCCCAAACTCACACCGGACTGATACCAGTCGACAGCTTTCCAGGGCGTCAGGGCTTCTATGCAGCCGTGATTTGCTCTGATTAAAAAGTGGCCCGAGCGCCACGCGTGAGTGGGGACACGGCTTTTGAGCCAGCGTTGGAGAGGACGCATGTGCAACAATCCTAGCTGGAGTACAGCTGATGCTGAGGCCATGAGACCGAGCATCCTCTGAAATCGCTTGACGGGGGCGCGCGCACCCGCTCTGAACGATGTTGCAAGGCGCCGAATAGTGAGCGCGCGCTCTGATGAGAGGCGCGCCGTCATCTGCACTGAGTCTAGCACTATTCCCAGGAAAGAAATATTCTGGCTGGGGGATAGCATGCTCTTTGCAAAATTGATTTTTAGACCCAGGCACTCTAGATGACTGATAATCCAAGACCTGTGTGTCACTAACTGGCTCTCTGATTGTGCTAGGATTAGCCAATCGTCGAGATAATTCAGTATTCGCACTCCCCGCTGTCTCAGGGGGGAAAGTGCTGCATCCATACATTTCGTAAATGTACGGGGTGCCAGTGACAGGCCGAATGGTAGTACTGTGTACTGGTATGACTGTCCCTCGAAAGCGAATCTCAGAAATGGCCTGTGATGAGGCGCTATTGGAATGTGAAAGTAAGCGTCTTTCAGATCCACTGACAGAAACCAATCCCCCGGGCGAACTTGCGCGAGGATATGCTTGGTTGTTAACATTCTGAACGAGCGAATCATTAAAGCTTTGTTCAGATGTCTGAGATCTAGGATGGGGCGGAGACCGCCATCCTTTTTCGGGACGAGAAAATAGCGGCTGTAAAAACCTGCCTCGCTCATAGAGGGGGGCACTGTTTCTATAGCACCTTTCTCTATTAGTTTGAGCATCTCGGTGCGTAGAACATGTGAAACATCTTTTCTCACTTTCGTCTCTACCACTGCTGTGAAGCGGGGCGGTCTGCGAGCGAATTGGAGCGAGTAACCGTGTTTTATTATGTTCAAAACCCATTTCGGCATGTCGGGGATATTTTCCCAAGCTTTCGCTCGCACAGATATGGGCTGAATGCTGGCCGGGGGCGTGTCGCAGTGACGTATGGCTCCCGCCAGCGAATCGTTCTGTGTTAATACCGAGCTCACAGCTGTCAGCGGCGCGGGCGCGCGCTGAGCAGCTTTGTTGAATGCCGAGTGCAGGGGTGCGTGTGAGATTACAGGCACGCTCGCTGTAACGCTCACAGAGCGAGATGGGGAAATGTTTAACACTGTGTGTATAGTGCTTATGGGTGGGGGTGCATAGACTGTGGTAGGCACGCGCGCCACTTTCATAAAACTTCCCGCTCGTGGCGGGAGGTTTTTGGCCATATAAACAGTGTTTGTGAGATGGGGTGCGTGCATAACAGCGGGCACACGCGCTACTCTTATACAACTTCCCGCTTTTACTGGGGAAGTGTTTATAACTGTGGGAACAGTGCTTGTGTGTAGTGGTGCATACGTAACAGTTGGCACACAATCTACATTTATGGGGCGTCCAGCCTGAGCTGGGAAAACATTTGGCACTGAGTTTACAGTTTTGATATGTGGGAATGCGCACTTTGGTGTGGACACGTGACCCTTTAATGACACAGGCAGAAAATAGCTCTTTATGTGATTTCTGTGTGTCGCCGTAAAAACGGCGTTTGTTTGCAGGTGGGCGAGCTGTGTGGCTGGCACATTGGCTGCTGTATAGACATTTCCAACCGCCTGTAAGGGGACTGGGTAATGCTTTAAACGTTTTGGAGAGAACGGTCCGGCTCTTGCGAGACACGCGCTCTCCCTTTTCCTCCCTGTAGCTAGGAGGACTTACGAGGCTCTGGGTTCAGCACAATCCTGGGCCGAGGTCCCCGTCGCTCGGGCGGCTGTTTCCTGTTGGCGGAGCGCGAGCGGCGTCGAAAATCCGTTTCAGGTTTGGGCTGAGAGACGGGGGGCGCCGTCTTAGCTCGCTGCTGCTGAGGCGGCCGTTGGCGGCTCTGCGATGAGCTAGATCGCTTGGGCAGGAAGTGACGCATAGCCTGTGAGTCCTTACGGGCTTCGGTGAAGCGCTCGGCGAACTCCTTCACCGCTGGTCCAAACAGGCCGCTTTGGGAGATAGGCGCGTCGAGAAAAGACGCCTTATCTGCATCCTTCATTTCTGTTAGCGTCAGCCACAGATGGCGCTCAAGGACAGTCAGGTTAGCCATAGCACGGCCGATGGATTGGGCGGTGGCTTTTGTAGCTCGCAGCGCTATGTCAGTGGCGCTGCGTAGGTCCTTAAATGCCTCAGGATCGGGTCCAGACTCGTCCATACTGCGGAGAAGTTTGGCTTGAAAAACCTGGAGGACAGCCATAGAGTGAAGCGCTGATGCAGCTTGGCCGGCGGCGGCGTATGCGCGACCGGCGAGAGCTGAAGTAGATCGGCAAGGCTTCGAGGGATGAGAAGCTTTAGCTTTCCATCCAGCGTTGGAGGGTGGACACAGATGATTGGCCACAGCTTCCTCGAGGGGCGGAGTCCCCTCATAGCCTCTTTCTTTTGCGCCGTCCACAGAGGAGAGCGACAAAGAAAAAGAAGGCATCAGGCGAGCGGAGTGCGGGGCTTTCCACGACTTCGTGAGTTCGTCGTGAACTTCCGGGAAGAAGGGGGAGGGTCTTTGTCGAGGGGCCTGTCGGCGCCCCTGCAGGAACCACTCGTCCAGTCGGCTGCGGGCGGGTTCTTCCGGGGAAGACCAATCGAGCCCGAGGTCTTCCACGGCCTTAGAGAGAATGCGGACGATCTCAGAGTCCATGCTGGAGCCCGCGCTCGTGCCCGCTAATGTCGATGGCGCGGGGTCGAAGGACGAGCCCGGCCAATCGTCGGATGCAGCATCACAGGAAAAACTGTCATCCTTATCATCGTCATCCCCTGACGCGCCAAACGAGACGAGCCCCATCGCTCCGCTGGAGGGGTGCTGGTCCGCCTGTGTGAACTGGACTGGCGGCGGGGAGTCTTCGGGTGTTGGTGAAGCACGCGGGGATTGGCCCGGCGTGACATCACTGCAAACCGCGTGCTCCGGCGGCCTCTGTGAGCGGCGTTTTTTCTTTCGCGGCTCGACTAGAGGAGATGGCAGCACGGAAGAGGTGGGCTCTTTCGCGGTGAAAACGGCGAAGCGAGCGCGCAGCTCGGTGAGGCCCAGGGCGTCACACTCGGGACATCCGCCTCGAGTAAGGGCAGCCTCTGCGTGGTCCGGTCCCAAGCAGCGGGCGCAGATGATGTGACGATCCCCGTCCTGAAGAGGGCCTCGACACGAGGCGCAGGAAGGCATTTGAAACAACGCCTTGAGAAATTTGACTCTTTTAGAAAAAGTGTCGCGGGGGCGAACACTGATAGCTTTTTGAAAAAGGATATAGATGGTGCGCGCCGGATGGCTTAGCAGAAGGGCGATCGAAGGCGGCTGAAGGCGCCGGCGTCCTCGAAGCAGTCCTGCTGTAGGCTTGTCGACGGCGGCGGCGAAAAGACTCCAATAAATCCGGAGGATCCAGCGAAGAGAAGGTTCTTTGCTGAAGGAGATTAAATCTAAAGAACTCAGACGACGGGGCGCCCAATATATAGCCCTTGGCCACGCCCATCTCGGCGGGCTCTGACGCGCGTGGGCGCGAAGCACGCTCATTGGAAGCGGGTTCAGAGTCGCCCCGTCATTGGTTCGTGCAAGTTGCCGCAGCACAGCCAATGACCGAGCTGCCTCGCTCATTGCTGTATGCTGTGCAGCTGCAATGCGTTTTACATAAAGACTTCAATATTTCTCGAGAAAAGGAGTTTTCCCATAGCGTAAGCTTACGCAATAGGAGGAACCTCTCGAAAGGGAACGGGGTTTTTGCCTTGCGACGTCAGAGTGTGCGCCGTTATCCGCTGTGTTTGACGTCAGATTTGCGCTTCTGATTGGCCAACGTGGCTTTACGGTTAAGGTTTATATCGCCGCCTGCTGGCGTGGCATGCTCTTGACCGCGGTTGATAGCGTGTTTTTGCGTTTTCATGTAGACGGAGACCGAGCATGTGTGGACGGGATTTTTTTTTTAAACGCTGTAGGAAAAACTCTGCTTATAAAAATACCTGTGTCCGTGTGGACAAGGCCTAAATCTGTTAGCGATCAAGTGATCAAGACTAAACCGTTCAATTCATATGGGTAAGTTTTACAATTTCTTTATGAACTTTTTGAAGCGTCAAAGAAAGTGGTAGTTGCGTAACTGTCAACGGAGGGACAGAAAGCTCTCAGATTTCATCAAAAAGATCTTCATTTGTGTTCTGAAGATGAACGAAAGTCTTGCGGGTGAGTAGGCCTAATTAATGACAGAATTTTCATTTTTGGGTGAACTGACCCTTTAAAACTTCTGGGATGTAATAGCAAAGGAAAAAACACATAGTGAGTTCCACATAGTCAAATTGAGGGAAAACGCTGAAAATAAGAAATATCGGATTTCATACTAAATACTAAAATAGATGCATCTTCTTAGTTTAGATCCTAGCAAAACGTAAGCTTACGCACTATTTAACTCGCGCATCTTTATTTATTTATTTCTCCCTGCCTGCAACCCTCCCCCATTCAAACCCGGATGGATGACTTCACTTTTCCGTCTGGGTTTCCTCTCTGGTTTCGGGATCTCCCTCTATTTCTCTCAAGAGCTCACCAGCAGTCGGACGCAGCACTCCTCTCTCCAGATACACCCGACGGTTCGGCCAGGAGAGATAGTTATTATTCCAGGGTCTTAGCTGGACTTTATCTTTCGACACTGAAGGGGGGAAAAGTAGCCTGAAAAGACTTTTTTTTTAAATTCATATCTACCCCTAAATAATATTTGTTTTTCCATACGACCTTAGCTGGGAACTTTAGTAGCCTATACTTGAGTAGCCATGTCCGAAGTGCTGCCATACAACGAGGGGAAGATGAACGGCTACGGGGCGGACAGTGAAGTTTCTTTCAGCTGTCGACTGCAAGACACGAACTCGTTCTTCGGAACATCACAGTCCAAAAGGCCACCGAAACTCGGGCAGATTGGCAGGGCAAAACATGGTATGTATCAGCAATATACAGATAACCACCATAACATCAAAATGGGTCTTACCTGTAAAAATGGCTAATAACATTGTTTGTGTGCAACAACAGAGGTTACACAAACAAAATGAAATCAGGTCAACGCATGATACTAAAACGCGATACAAAAAAGCATTAAATGTACAATTTTAATATCTTAATAAATTAAATATGAAGAACAACAAAACATTTTTTGATACATGTATTTGATAAAATGTATTATTTCAATCATATGGTAATTCAAAGATTTTTTTTCTTGCACATACAATATAAAAAAAAATATTGTAAAATTTACATTTGCATTTCCTGTTGAACCTAATATATTTTTTCACTGCATATGGTGAGGTAACCTACAGTTAACCAATTACAGTATTTTATAGGCTTTAGTTTTCCAAAATAGCTCTTTTCTTGTTGAAACATAGATATATCCCTTTTTTTCTTTACTTCGTGCTTACTATTTAAAAGCTCTAAAATAACATCTGTGTCCTCTCTCCACAGTGGTCATTGAAGATGACAGAATAGATGACGTTCTCAAAGGAATGACAGACAAGTCAACTCCTGGCGTGTAAACCTGAATGATTACACCTCGTCAACCTTTTCTTTTAATCACTGGTTTGAAGCACTTGTCGCCTGTGCATGTGAACGAGAGGTGAAGATGATGGTTCAGTGTACAAGTACAGGATGATGGATGAAGAGCCACTCTGGGCAGTGGGTTAAAATAGTGAGATTTGAAGATGCTGGCAATTCTCCAACTGAAACCCATCCCAAACTGCCGCTGTGAAGAAAGCTGCTCAAGATTTCTGGTCATTTAGCCCCTTGTCTCGTAGAAGCCGTGGGTCTGGGTGTGAGATTTCATCCCTACATCAGCAAACCGAAGCCCCTGTTTCATAGGCATCTATCATACTATGAGCTGCTCATTCAAGGGAGCTGTCCAGTTCAGCACCACTTGACTGTCTTTCCAGAGAAATAAGCTATATCTTGCATGGAAATGGGATGATGTATGTAATCGAGGGGAGATTGATTACATTTATTCACTGCTGTCATATCTACACACATTCCATTTTCAATCCTTGACTGATCAAATACCCAGAATACATTTTATAGCGAATAAAGCCACTGAAACGCCAGCAAGAGCTGAAGAATGACAGCAATGGAAGGAAAATGAGAAGCAGGAGTACAACTTCTTGTTTGATTTATTGCGTCTTTTCTATGACTGTTTTTTTGTTTGTTTTTTGGTGTCGTGTACAGATTAATATATACGGTTCTCTTTGCATGAACTTTTCTCTTGTGCCATTGCGGGAGTTTCCACCTCTTTTAAACCCAGGCACGCTTGTTTTTACCGAAATCAGTATTTGTATTTTTTATATCTGAATATTTGTTATGACATTATCATCTAATTCTTAATAGTCCATCGACACAGACAGGGTATGTGTAGATACAGAGGCATAACACATAATCATAAAAGGACAGACTGAATGTTATTTTGGGGAAGGGGTTTCACACATCTGCATTAACATGCTTTTCATTGCAATAAGTGATTATGCCTTTGTTGATAATGAAATGATTAGGAAATATAATTTCAGAGTATGTTCAACAGCACTCTCACTACAATTACATCAATGTTTTTTTTCAACATTTCAGTTGAATATTTATTTGTTTGTTTTTGTATTCATAATGTTCAGTGTATGGTTTATTGTGCATGAAATATGAATATCTTTCAAGCTTATACATTTATGAAGCAAAAAACTGTACACAAATGTCTCAACATTCTACAAATGAATTAATAAATAAATGTAGAGGATTCATTCATCATGAGGTTTCATTTTTTACCTAAAACGTATTCAAATCACTGTTAGAAATATATCTGTTAAATAAAAACGAGAAAAGAGTGAACTGCAGATCATGGGCTACCCTTTAATTTGGATATAATCTGGGGAATTAGAGGGGAAGTTAAGGGTCTTCATGCAGGAATATGAATGGAATGATATATTAAAAGGATGATTTCTGCAGTTGTCAGAAATTAGAGCGAATGTTGCCCCTCCAGCCAAGCCGACAGCATGAGAACAAATCAGCAAACAAACAAACGTAATGGCTCACACAGTCTGCCAACCACACCAAACCTTCAGGATTTTAAGCCTGGCATCCAAATAAGCAATGCCAAAAAGCCAATGCACCTCTTTGTAAAAATGCCAGACATTAAATATTATTACTGCTTTCTGGAATACCTGTTCCTAATTGGTCAATCGCAGCATTCAGCGCTCTCCTTTTTTCCAGACCAGGGGTGTCCAATCCTGTTCCTTGAGGGCCACTGTTCTGCAGAGTTCAGCTCCAGGACCAAGTTTGGACACCCATGTTCCAGACATTCACTGTCACCATGGCAATGCTGCCACACAACAGCGGCTCTACTTTCATGGCTCTGTCCCAAATGGAACCCTAAGCTCATACAGTACAGTACATTCGTGACGTGGGTAGATGTGGAGTTTGTAAGTCCACAAGACTGCAAGTGCACACGCTTCTCAATTGGAAGGCTGCATCCTATAGGCTGCATATCTCGGCAGCCACGTCATCAAACTTTGTCAAAAGACGTCTCAATTTGAAGGATCCTTGGAAGGAAGCCTTTGTTCCTCCTCCTTCTTTCAGGTCCATTTTGAAGGATGCATCAAGTGTATCCTTCGTGGCCTTCAATCATACACAATTCTCTGCACACATTCAAATTCATGACAAAGAGTGGACGGAAAACGAGTCGGCACTGAGCTTGTCTGAGTTCATTAAGAATATAAGACAAAAATAAGGTTTTCGGGGATGATGGCATACGTTATCTTTTGTTTTGGTGTAAATTAACACTATATATACTACCAATAATGTAAGCCACTGGGAGACCACAGATGGTTTTCATTCACTGTATTGCATTAAGAGAAAGCTATATTTGGTTTAAATGTGTTTCTTTAAATAAACGGCATCAGTGATTTGCATAGTCATGAATATTATGCATAATTGCATTTAGCAGTTAAAATGTGCTTTCATCTGTTTTACAACAACTAATCCTGAACCAAGAAGGTTCAATTTCAGTTCAAAAGTTGTATTTGCTGTATCAGTTTTCGTGATGACCCAAACCAGTGCCTCTAGGTGTGTAACGGGCCATGAAGTAGTGACTCAAATAGCACAGAAGAGTCTAAACAACCCTCAAGCTCTATTTCTTATCGAGCTCTAAAATAGAAACAAATTACATTTCAGCAGAGGATTAAAAATGAATGGTTTCTGGTTTATTAATGCAGACCTCAGAAGAGTTTTGCACTGTGCTGCGGCACGGTGTGGTGTTTGATGTTTCTCTGCAACGAATACAGAGAAGAGGCGTCGGAGCACGACACAGGCAGGGCAGGGCACCCAGCATTCTCTGCAGGGACACTGAACCCTGTGCTGATCTGCATGTGGCGCACCTCTCTGCTGACTCACAAAGACACAAACGTGACACATTTAAAAAAATATATAAATTTCTATATTTTAAAACTAACTATCATTTATTGTTAATGCATATTTTGTTATAATTAATTTGATTATTTATTCAATTGCATATTTAATTTATTATGAATTAATTAATTTAGTCATTTAAAATGACATTTATGTAGCCTATATAATATACAAATAATTTATTTATTTTTAATCATTATTTTTATACAGTTATCTAAAACAATATGATGGACTTTTTTGATTAGGTTAATTGTTTTGACAGTATTAGATGTATTTCAGAGTGTAGAAGTATATGTCTAATCATGCTAAAGTGTTTTCATGACAGAATATTCAACATCTTTATTATAATTATAATTATTATTATAAATAATATTAGATTAGGCTATGTTGAATTGCAAATTGAATCGCCAGCTTACTGGTTGTGAGTTTGTGTTGGGTTCAATTAAAATATGTATGGCACATAATGCTTTTGTTTGTTTTTATACCTCACTCCAGGAACACACAATTTAATATCCATCCCTACAAACTGTTGAGCAATAGTTTTGACTCATAACTATGACATTACATTCTGTGATGCTGATGAGAAGACTGTTAGAAGGGAGTGGGGGTTGAATTAAACATTATCCTTCAATGACATGAAGCTTTAAATGGATGTTTCATGAATTCACGTTTATATAATCCTTAGATTATCCCTTTATGGGCACATCCCATATGAATCCCCATAATGGGATGCTGGATGCAGTGGTCATGTGCTTAATTTAGGCAGGATTAGATGAACACTTCACTCCCATGCATCCTTGATACATTTCTATTAATCACAGTAGCCTACAGTAGGCCTATACACCAGGGGTGCCCAATCCTGCTCCTGCCGATCGACTGTCCTGCACAGTTCATCTCCAACCCTAATCAAACACACCTGAAGCAACCAATTAAGGTCTTCAGGATCACTTGAAAATTAAAGGCAGGTGTGTTGGAGATGAACTGTGCAGGACAGTCGATCGGCAGGAGCAGGATAACTAAAAAAAATAAAAATAAAAATCAAATTATCACAATAATTAGTCAACATCCTAAATCATTTTTGTTACCCAGGTTATGGTAAGCCTATTATAATTGTTAATATTTTAGACCTGTCAGTGTGGTTTTCGCGGGATATTGCGTACATACGTCACTCGCCCGTCCGTGTCTCGTCATATCTGCAAATTGAGAAAGTTATTTAGGCCTACATGTGTATGTTGTGGAAGTCGTGGCATAGGTTATTAGTTGTTACAACGAATGAGATAGATTGACATGGAGCAGCTAAATCCCGAAACTCCGGGTAATCACCTGTTGTTGTTTTTTTTTAAATCGATGAACGCAGAAGAGTCTGCTGGCAAAAAGAGAACAACAGAGCTCGCAATAAAACGAGAATCAATTTTGGCTTTGCTTTTCGAAGATGAGGAGAACTGAGGGATTTGAAATGTTGTAAAAGCTGCGTGATGGCATTTTTATTACTTCGCAGGTGAGTAAGGTATTTTATTCAACAGATAAATTGCCATATTTATCTCTCTAAAAAGAAAGCTCACTGTAAAGCATTATCTATTGCGAAGGGTCATATTCATCCGCAGTCACGCAGAGCCGAAACACAACCAAAGTAATATTCTTCCGCAAACTGCATGCAGTTTTTTAACCGCAAAAGTTACATAGTGTTCCTTTTATAGAGAAAGTTACTAAATGTAAATATTATATCAGATATAATAGTAATATATAATAAAACATGTTTCCTTAACTATACACCACACAAAACTAATATTCACTTACTTTTTCTTGGAGTGTACTTCAGATACACTGATAAATAGGTCAGTCTGTGAGAGATTATGAGGTAAATAGAGACCCTTCTCTTCTCATGACTCAAATCATCTATAAATGATTTATAGTAACACTGCACAGACAGTGTTAAATATGCCATTGTAAGCTGTATCTGATGTCTATTGTTTTATTTGTCCTCCCTGCAAAGCTAAAAAATAAATCACTTGATATTCCTTTTCTGATAACCTTAACAAGAACAGGACAGACATAAACAGTAGCAACTACTGACTTCCAACTCACAGCAAAATAAATCCAAATGTGAAAGATTCTGAAACATTCTGTATGGAGAATAGCAGATGAAATTGTTACTTACTGATCGGCCAAGTAACATCTAGGTCTCTTAACTTACTACACTTTTATAATGCTCAGGCTTGGACGCAATGACCAGAACTGCACAAACAGGTAGGTTTATTTGCAGATATGGCAGGGACGCAATGTATAATAGGATACTTGATAATACTTGAGATTGTTAGCAGATGAGAACTTTGAGTCTTTGTCTTTCAGAAACATTGGAGCACACATATTTTGTATTTTTACATTTGAATTGTTCTTAACTTGAAATGTTTGAGTAAACTAATTCATACATTTAACTTAAAATTTCATGTAATGTTAATGTGAACACTTTTATTAGTATAAACTTAGCTAGCTTATCAAGCTAGTTTGCTAACATACTATTTCGTTAACATCTTAACAATAGTATTCTATACAGTAACACTTGCAGCAATATAAAGGTTTTATTTGCTCTCAAATCAAGCTCATGCACCACTTGTCACCATGATGGTAACTATCCTAAAACCAACATTAACAGAAATTCTTCTAAATTAGCATAACAAAACATTAATCATTACTAAATCACCCGCTTAACATTAATCTTGCACAAAAAA